CTGGTAGGCAGTGCATCTTGACATGCTCTTTCAAACAAAAATAAATAAAACGTATGGAATGAGAGTCTACAGAGAATTCTTGCTTGTACGATCAAGACAGCACAAGCTGAGAAAAAATGAAGAAGACTTTCTGTTGTTTTTTTTTTGTAAAAACAGCATATTTTTCGAATAGAGGATGATGAAAATTGTTATGTTAGTAGAGACATCTCCTGACATAAAAAGTCTCCTCTCCTTTCATGGTAGTGACATTGTTCTTTTTTGCTTATACGGCATATTATCCGATAGATAAAGAGGAGGTAAAGAATGGAAGAGGAGGAAGGGAGAAACACATATTTTGTTGCTTTTTTGTTTTCAATTGTGTTGTTTTATGTGGAAGAAGGATTGATAACAACAAGAAGAATCATAATAATAAAAGGCAAAAGGTCTAACAAAAATCTTCAAAAGTTTTTGGAAAAAAATGAGGTGCTGAATAAAAAAATTTGTCGTTTATGAAAGATCAGAACACGGGTTATCTCCCCATGTATTTATCTTAATCTCGATCATTCAGACGAAAATTGACTTTTTTTTTTAGGAAGGACCTTAAACAAATATTATTCATTATTTGCTTCCCTACGACAGTCTTTTTTTTTATGTATTAAAATAAGAATAATCGTATATTAGACATATGATTACTGTTTGAAATTATAGATTTTTATTTAATCTCTACTATGATCAAACATTTATTTAATATGTAAACATAATTAGTATCCGATAAATGAAGTACTATTTTAAATAACTTGTGTAGTCACAATTTGATACATTTATCAATTGTTATTTATTTTTGTTTTATTAAAAGTATTCAATTGTTACTTCGTTGAATTTGCTGGCTATAAGCTATTATAATAATGAAATCAGATGGTATTAAGGTTCGAAAATGGGAAGACAAAAAAAAAACAATTTTGTCGTATTTTACCTTCGCAGTACAGCGAAGGTAAAGAAGTACAACGAATATTTATTCATATACTCTTTTTATATACACCACATAACATTACTTTCTCTGTATCACACCATATTTATTTCTAAAATATGCACTTATTGCTTTCTTTTGCTCGTTCTCTGATCGTATTTAGACTTTTTTTTCTGCTATTAGTATACATGTGTCCACGTGAAGGAGAAAAAAGACTTGTTCCGTTGAAAATGAATCAAGTTTTATAAAAATATATTCACTTTATAGATCTTTAGAAACTATTTTAAAGATAATATAAATTGATAATCTTATTCTACGTTGCTTGAAATCACATTTGTAGTTATTCTATTTATTATAGAGATTTGTATTTCGAAACAAAGTAATACTATTTATATTTTAATGTTTTTATATTTACTGCAAGTTTATAGAATCGATCTATGTTTTTTTTCTTAGATGTCAAAAAACTCATCAACTGATCAAAAAATGAAAACAAAGTCTACAGAACAATCTGAGTCTGGAAAGAAGAAAATTGATCCGATCAAAAATTTTTTTGCTGGGGGTGCTGGAGGAGCTTGCCTTGTTATTATTGGACATCCTCCAGATACAATTAAAGTTAGTTTTATAATCTATTATATATAAATGAATTTAGAACACATTAGAAAAAAAAAAATTTTTTTCTGTTTGACATTTAGGTTCGTTTACAAACAATGCCCAGACCCAAAAAAGGAGAAAAACCTATATATACAGGAGTTTTTGATTGTGTGAAAAAGTCTGTCAAGAATGAAGTATTTGTTTATTCTGTTATTTTCTTAATTATAGTCAATTTTTGTTTATAGGGTTTTTTGTCACTTTATCGAGGTGTGGGTTCTATGTTCGTAGGTATTGATTGAAGTTTGATTAAAGATAATTTTAAATATGGATTTAATTAATTTTTAGGAGTAACACCAACATCAGCTTTATCTTTTTTTGGTAATAGTATTGGAAAAAAAATTCAAACACCATCGAGAGACGATGAAGATTATAGGTGAATTAAAGTTTTATTTTGTTTTTTTCAACTTTTGATATAATTTATTATATTAGTTTACCACAATTATTTTTCGCTGGTTCAGTTGCTGGAATTACTAATACAATTGCTTTAACTCCTGTTGAAAGAGTGAAATGTTTATTACAAGTAATTATCAAAAAGAATATTTTATTATTATATAAAATTGATTTTTTAAAGGCTCAAGAAGCAGCTAAATTAAATAAAAATGTCTCATCAACTGAATATAATGGATCATTTGATTGTGCTCGACGATTATATAAAAAAGGTGGAATTCAAAATTTATATCGAGGTGCAGGAATTACAATTATTCGAGGTAGAATATTTTAAATTATAATTATAATTTTATATTAAATTTGTTAATATAGGTATACCTCAATGGGGTGTTTACTTTTGTACATATGATGGTCTTATGAGAGTATTAAGATCCGAAAAAAATTCGTAAGTAATTAATAGTTCAAAAAAAAAAAGCTTTTAGTTAATTATTTTATTTTTAGAAAAGAGAATATAAGTGCATGGAGAACAATCTTAGCTGGTGGTACAGCTGGATTATTCAGTTGGCTTATAGGTATGCCAGCTGATGTAGTAAAATCAAGATTACAAAGTGGTATGTTAGAAATTAATGGAGAATATTTCATTATATGTTGTTTTTTTTTTCATATCTTATAGCACCATCTGATAAATATCCAAATGGTGCTCGAGATGTTTTTCGTGAATTAATAAAAAAAGAAGGATTTGGTGCACTTTATAAAGGCACTGCAGCTATCTTGATTCGAGCTTTTCCTGCAAATGCGGTAAATGAAAACAATTTTATTTGTTAATATATTTTTGTTTTTCATTTGTTTACTTAGGCATGTTTTCTCGGTTATGAAGTGGCAATGAAGGGTCTGAATTATCTATATTAATAGAATTAGTTTTGTTCTGTTTTATCATAATTTAACACTTGTTTTTTTTTAATCTAATTTCGTACAAGTTCACTTATATTCATTGGGTTCGACAACGGTATCATCGGAAAAATTGCCCTTTTATACAATTAAATTTTTTACCATGAAATCGTTCTTAATGTTATATTCAATAAATATCTACATCTTTGTAAGTTTTCATGTATAGTTACTATTGAACAAATTTAATTGTTCTAAACACTGGTTAAAATCTAGTTTTGAATATTATCACTGACGTAGTTAAACAATGTCAATGCTGAATGTCTCGTAAACAGTTATGACTTATTACCAAGCAGTACGTAGTACCACACGGAGGATATGGAATGTGAGTGTAGGTGTGTGCACGGGGTGTGGCTGTTGTCCAAGTTTCCAATCATTCACATATCCACATCCCACATCAGTGCTAACCCAGACTCACATCTACCCACACACGCTCTTTTTATTCTGTCTGTTTTCTTGCTGTATTAACTGAATAAAATAAATGATTTCTAACATCATATAAGGAGAAGAAGTGCATTCAGAGCATGCTACTCCTCTCTGCTTTTGCACGTACGCTATAGTAGAAAATAGTTTTTTGTTGCACTTGAAAGTTCAAACAGCACGTTGCCTTTCAAAATTTACACAGAACAAAGAATAGCGACTAGTAGCATCATATTCCCATGACTATTCTAGTAGTTTATGAGTAGTTTGTGCAAAGGGAAAAAGCTATTCGAACTTATGTGATCATTCTCGCCATAGATCAGTAAATGCTTAATATAACATTTATGTAGATGGTGCATTCCTACGGTGCTGCATACTACTATTTATAAAATATGTACTAACTTAGGTTAAATTTTTGTATAATTCAATATCACTGAAAAATACCAATCTAAAAAGTATAGCCGAATTCCGGATACTGACAGTGTAGCTGCAAATGATCAAATAGTTTTTTTTGTCCCTTGTACAAATCACTTACCAATTACCAGGTAAGTGGTAAGTGATGAAGATTATCAAGCAATGACAAATAATCAATGAATAAACTAAGCGTTTATCGCTGTTGAATAGGAGGTTTTTCGATCACAAAAACACTTTCTGTTAGCTTTATAAGCGGAAGTAACAGTAAGTGTGACACCTCTAATAGTGTCCATCTGTTTTCAGGATCAAAACTGACGATTTCGATTGCGAATGACACTGATTTCGGATATTAAACGTCATTGAATGTAAACATTAAGAGATTATATATCGAACAAAAAAGAAACGAATGATTTAAATATTAAACAAGAAAGACAAAAATTAATCGATGACAAAACTTGTGCACTCAAGAAAAATATTTACTTTGATTTTAGGGTGTGAGTATGGGATCTTCTCTTCACTCATATCCACACCCATAAATGATAATCATTCATCACTTGATAAATTACCATCTTCAAATAATTCTTATCGACATCGAACATCATCAACAACAATAAGACAAGGATAAACAAAAAAAGAATTCTCAGCAAAACATTAAAAAATCTTTTTCTTCAAGTCAAATAAATTATTTTGATGATAGAAATAATTCAATGTATCGATGAAAATCAACTGGTGATTTACATCGTCATCAATTGACTGAATGTATGAAATATTATCGATATTGTCTTCAATTAACTCAACATTCAAATACAATTCCTATAAACGATAATCCAACAAATAATGAAAAACGAAAACCATATACAAATACACTTGGATAAAAATAACTTGTTTTATTTTTTATTTAGCAAAAAAATATTTTAATAAAATAAATTTATCAGATAGAAATGAAATTGAATTTTGTAAGTTTTGTATTTTGTTGCACTTGAGTTCAATTGTATTTCAATAATGAAGAATGAAAGAATCAAGAAGAAGAGAATGGCAATAATAGCTGTGCTGGGTGTAGGTGTTTGTCTTTCCTTTATCCACACCCCCACACGATCTTTATTTCGCAAATGTATGAGTCTTAAGTATGGTTTTTTTTTGTTTTTGAATATTTTCAAGCTCCATAAGGTTCTTTGCCTTTGCATTCATATCCAACTTGTCCATCACATGCATAAACAACAAATATTTGTACTGCATATTACCAATTGTATTCACCACCGTTTGCAGTAATTCGGTATGTGCAACAACCGTAATCGCCAAAAGGCATGTCGACTTGTTGTGGTTCTTGCCAATTTTCTGTATCGAAAACAATTGTATTAAATTTAGCACATTGTGTACTATTGTAATACCAATTTGGTTGTACCTTAAATGCAACTTTGACTTGGTCACCAAGTGAATAAACTGGTGATGTAATTAATTTTATTGTAAAATGATCTTGACCTTCTGGAGTTACCTACAAATCCATGGTACGGTTCTATAGTAAAACCTACAATCAATCGAAATATAACAATATAAGTAAGGTTAGATAATATAATTGAGAACTATAGTTTACCTGTGTTTTCATTGCCACAATAAGAAGGCCATTGATCAGGTAAATCGAATAAATGTTCAGCTTCTGATGGAATACCATGTGTAAATAATAAATAAACGGTACTTATATATCTATATATAGCTATATGATTATTTATTATATCAGTAGAAATGTGCAATTTACACTTACTCATCACTATCGTAATCATCGCGAGCAGTACGTGCACGAATGGTTTTAACTGGTCTATCTTGTATTTCAAAATAACTCAAACATGGAGCTTTGCCAAAACCAGATCGTTTTAAATCACATATGTCTGGTGAATCATATCTCTACAATAAGAAAAAATTTTTTATTACATATTATTTACTCGTAGTTAGATGTGATTGAATTTGTACTCGTAAGTACTTCAATATATTGATTAGAACAGCAATGGGCCAATAAAAAAAATTCTAATGATTTTCCGAAGAGTTCTTTGAAATAGGGTATCTTTGTTTGGCTTCATGTATCGCAGAACTTCATAAGATTATCGATTCTTATCAAAATAGAAAAACATACCATGGCATATTGTTGAATTTCTAGTATTCATTCTTCACCCTTATTGATAAGATTTGATGGTAATGGAAACTATGGTTAAATTTCAGCATGATCTTGTGAATCATAGAACCAACTAGTCAGAAATGGGCCTATGTCACCTACTGGATCTGTTCTGTACCAACAATCATTCTTAAAAAATCTTATTTACAATGGAAAATGATAAAATTTGTCTATTTACTTTTGTCGGTTCTGGATAATCGAGATTGAAATTAAACATTGTATAACTTTGCGAAGCTGGCTAAAAAAAAATCTTCATAGTTAATCTTTTTTTTTCATAATAGAATTATTTTCTACTCACTAAATGTGCTTCAGCACCTTTAGGTTTGTATTGAATCATGTAAGTTTCGTTTTGTTGCGATCGCCATCCACGAATATCCATACGAACTCTTTAATTTTTATAATCATACAATAGTTGTTGATAACCTTCAGATGATGTTTGCTATGAATATAATCCCTTTATATTCAATGTTGCTTGAAAGTATTTTAGAAAACCTATTTGACTGAAACATTGATTAATAGATAGAATCAATAGCATCAATAACATCATTTGTCTCATTTTCTAAATTTTTTGTATTTTACACATAATAGTATGAAAAAATGTCGAAGATAATAACGCAAAAAGAAATCACTTTTATATACAAATAGTTGCTTCGTCATCATTAACATAGATATTATGTTATAATTCCAGTGGTAACATGATAAAGTAAAATTGTGAGTGTAAAATATTTCTGTCATTAACTGATGGTACAAAGTAGACTTTTAGCATATTATATCACCTCACAAATAGTGCTTCAGAAGTGGAAAAGAAGTCTTTCTCTTCGATGTAAATAACTATGGTTTACAATTACTTATTGCTACAAGAGAACACGGATCAGTTGTTGTAAATATCATTCTGCTTCTACAACACAATTTTCGTTCTCACAATAAATAGTCAATCGATAAAAAAAAAATGAATGAGATTGCTCGAGACATCATCATTAAGTCAAGTATTGAAAATAATCTATACAATTTTTGTTTACACGCTATGTACATCCTTTCTTTATAGGTCTGCAGTTATGTGACCATCATATATTGCTGTCATCGTATATGATAAGACATAATACAAGGTTTTAACTTTTCTCTTCTTCGAAAGATAAAAAGTTATCTATATACATCAACTTTTTCTGTTAAAAATAGTAGAAATGGGAAGTCATATTTTTTATAGAAAATTAAGCAATCATTTTTTCTTTGTTGTAAAATAAAATAAGAAAATATAATTCTAATTGAGCCAAAAGAGAAAAGCCTATGTATTGAAACAACTCGTGCAACGATTCTTTTTCATCAGTCAATCAAGATTGAATACATGTTTGTATAAATGATTTTCCAAAAAGTAATGTTGAGTTTTGCTTTTTTTGTAGAATTAAAATTGATTTTCAAATGTTTTTTAAAAGTTGTTGCTGATTTTTCAATTCGTTTGAAAATAATTTTTCTAGAAAATCAGATTGAAATTCTACTTTCTTGAAAATTATAAAACCGTTCGACGATAAATAATAATTTGAAAATGTTTGAGCTTTTGTTAACTCGATTTGCTACAAAATAGAATTTATTTTAAATTTATAATGTTGTATTCGTTTGTCTCTACATCATGTCAAGGATTGTACATATATGTCACAATAACACTAATGCCCATTTCAGAAAACAAGGCGCATGTGTATATTTTGAATAATTTTTAATACAAACAATATAGAGAGTTGCAGTTTTCACCGTTGGGAAAAGAAGATGAAGACGCATCAAATCATATATTATAAGTTTTTTTACGCTTTTTCAATTGAACCTTGTCAAAAATAAATCTATCTCATGAATTGTTTACAGCAAATTTTCAATTATCAAATGTATTTTCAAACCACCAATAAAAGATCTAGAAAACTGCGTAAGACTTAGATATTTAAATTTAATCGTTTAGAAGTTCTAAGTAATTTATTACAAAGTCCAAGCCTATTTTTCTAGCAATTCCTATCAAAAAATCCTTTTTTTTTGTTTTTGATAAAAAAATCTTTTGTAGCATTTCGTTTTAGAAAATTGATTAAAAAACCAAGACAGAAAAACTTATAACGGATAATTTGATATGTCTTCATCTTCTCTTCCCAACAGTCAAAGTCGCAGCTCTCCATTTTGTTTGTATCAAAAGTTATTCAAAATATATTCAAACGTCTTTTTTTTATGAAATGGACATTAGTGTGATCGTCACATATCGTAACAAACAGTTCTTATCAAAATTTTATTATTATGATTTTAGTTCCAGAATAATAAAACATTGTAGAAATATAGAGGATTGATTATACTATCAGTACATACAAAGAGAAAGTTTCCTTAAACTTACTATACGGCATTGAAGTACCACTGCCATTACTTTTGGTATGTCTTACAGAAAAATGGATAACAGACAAATGTGATTTTCTAGTAAATCTGGATTGAGTCTGGAAATAAATGTGTATTCGCATTAACTTGCATATGTCGTGAATTTACGAAATCATTCGGGCGAATAGCAAGTATCGTTTACGTTACTCGAAAGACATTTATCTTTCAGTAAGGGAGAGTGAAATATTAAGAAAAAATATCATTAAAAATAAGAAAAGAAAAGATGCACAAAAAAGATGACGTTACTGACATAGATTACACAAGTGCCCTATGTCTATTTGCTACACGTCTGATATCGATCGCGTTTATCAGTTAAAGATAGAGAACAGCTAAATAGAACTGAAGAACAACAACATTAGACACACAATATTATGCCTGAAACTGAAGCCACAGTATACCGTATGTATCGTATTCGATGACTTCAATTGCTTGTCTATTTTCTTGCGACATTTGCGAATTCTTTGCATAATACGACATCTATTCCTTACGAATGGGAGACAGCCACTTTTTTCAATATAACGTCGGTAGAAGTCAATACTCTAGCCATTGTCTTTCTCTTTCTCTATGTACCTAACACAGGTTTGTCAATATGGGCTTATCGAATATTCTCGATGCGAACTGGAATGATTATTGGAGCATTACTAAACTTAGGTGTATGGATTCGTGTATGTACTCTCATTTCGCCTACTCACAGCTATCCGATTCTCATGCTCGGTCAAATCTTTCCAGCTACCTCAGCACCATTGTTTTTGAATTTGATCGCACTATTCGCTGCTAGCTGATTTGCTCCACAACAACGTGATATTGGCACAGCTATTGGTTCAATGGTCAATCCATTTGGTGGAGCCATCGTTTATCGTTACCGATGCCGTATCATCTCATTCATTTTTCATTCTCTGGACAGCTGAAGCTGCTTTCACCACATTAACAACACTTTTAGTTATAGCCATATTTCGATTGGAGTCTCCATCACCATCATCGCCTTCCGAGGAATATCTTCAATCGATCAATGTCAAACAAGATCTAGGCCGTCTATTCACCAATAGGCATTATCTTACTTTGCTATTCGGTTTCTCTCTCGGCTTGGCTATTTTCAGTTCAATGAGCACACTTATCTATCAACTCATTCAACCGAGCCAATACTCGAGCGAGAGTGCCGGCGTGTTCGGTGCCACACTTCTTATAGCAGGTCTTATCAACTCCTGTGCAACAAGTGTAATCATGGATCACACGCATGCCTATTGATTGTTATTAAAAGTATTAGTAGTGGGTACTTGTGTATCGGCCTTCTATTTCATTGTCATTCTTTGACCAAATATGCTTTATCCACTGGGTGTTTCAATTACTCTCTTTGGCTTCTTCTTGATGCCACTTTTATCAATAACATTTGAGTGTGTTGTGGAATGTACTTATCCAGTGCGTGCCGAATGGTCTACTGGATTACTCTTGTGTGTTGGCAATGTGCTTGGTCCTGGTTGTACTTTCCTTCTTGGCTATCTTATCAAACTAGCTCCAGTGTATAAGTCTAGTGTCATATTTACACCTGCTTCCATATTTATTATTTGCATATTTGTCATTAGTGGGTTGGCATTTATCACGTACAAAGGGCCTTATTCGAGACTCGAAGCTAAACGCATGACTTTTGCCCAATCTACTGTTAATGCGTAGCAGAGATGGAATCGATTCGTGTTTTTCTGAAACCCAACTGAACCAAATCAAGTCAAAACTTATATGAAGCCATTAAGAAATCATATGCTCTAATTTCAGATCTTCTTGGACACACAATAGCTTCTGTGATCAAAATCTGTCTGATGACTAGAAAACATAGTAGTGAAAGATGGTAACCTTTATGTAGAGTCTTTTATGGTTCCTGCAATATTCCTTATTAGTTCTATATACTTAAAAACATAACTTGTTCAATTTTTATAGTATTTTGTTTGAAATTTTTTATAATTGTTCTTCTTATTCGAATAATATTCGTTCTTTTTTTATTTTCATCATACATCATATCAGCAAGTACTAGCTACCAAGTTTCGATTAGATGTGATCGTATCCAGTTCCAAAAACTACATATTTTATATACAAATTGTACTCTATTATTGTTCAAATACTGTATTACATTGTGACCATGATAACTCGTTGGGATATCGCATCAGAATTCAGATTTTCCTTTGTATAGTAGTTGTTGATAAATGATATCAAATGCGCTTTAGTACACTAGTTCTCACGCATTGCTTAGTTAATGATATGAAACAATGATTTTGAAATTCTGTTTTGAGACACAGCAATTCTAACTTAATATTTTCCATTCAAACATAGAATTCTCTTTAAATTTCATCACCAATTCAAAAATCATTATATAATAATATGCGATATAGAAAAAAATCTGTACAAGTTGAAATTTCTTTCAATTATCATTAGCATATTTTGATGCTTGCTCTTTATAACATCTTATATTCGTACCTTTTAAATGATTACTAATTGTTTTAAAACACGAATTAAAATTTTGAAGCTATTCTACGTAAAAAAATGTTGACTTCGTAATTAATTATTGTTCATTTCAAAATATAATGTCCTCTATTGTTTTTTGAATAACTTGAGAACGCAAGCAGCTAGAGATCTACAATTTTCACCAATCGAAAGAGGAGATAGGGAGATGTATTTTTCTTCAATAATGTATAAGAGTAAAGTCCTTTTAAAACTAATTATCTCTGACAAACATGTAGAAGAAGACATGAAAATGACCTGCTATCTAGATGACAGATCATATAAAGGAAAGGAAATTTTTCGTCTATAATGAAAAAACAAGAAGAAAATGATGTAATTAATCTTTTTTTTATAATATTTGACGCTCCATTAAAATGTATAACTGATTTAAATTTCATTTCTTCACAGTTCCTTTGTTCAACGTGTACAATATTTAAAATATACTCGTATGTTTTTGTGCAACATGAGACAAAATTGATTTTAGTTCTACATGTG